GGCGGCGGGCCCGCGGGAGGCCGGGGGTCTGGCCCGCCGGCACGGCCTGCTCTGCCTGGGTCAGGTGCGGCCGGGTCGGTGCCCGCGGGCCGGTCGGGTGCCGCGGGGAGGGCGATGGGGCAGGCGGGGACTGGGGCGAGCCCAGCAGCTCCCGTCCACGCACCCTCGTCCCACGCCGTTGTCCCCCTTCGCTCGTCCCCTCCGCTCACCCCCACCCTGTGTCCCACAGCGGGACGCTGGTTTAATGTTCAAATAGGGGTGTTCGATCGTTCCCTCTAGTGCTTTTAAACCGTCGGAGGCGGGTGAAAGCATAAGGGGCGCGTGTTGCTGATGGCCTCCGTGTGCGCACGGGTGAGCGAGGAAACCCGAAGGGCACACGCAAACCCCCCCGGGAGCCCACCCTCTCTCCAAGCGACACTCCCCACTTGTCTTGCCACGTACAACTCGCATTAAATGCACCTTTCTGATCCCTACGGCCCACATAGAGCTGGCACACGCGTCCGCAGCCCAGCTGCTTGTCTAAAAACTGCCTCTTACAACAGCTCCTTGCTGCCTGCAGGTGATGGAGGGAGAGCCTTATTATCATTTCAAACACCGTGGCACCAGGCAGAAAGCCTTAAGCAGACACTGGGGCTGGAATATGCGCCTGACAAAAGAGCCAAAGGTAGGGAGGAGGAGGTTGCAGGGACCCAAGTTACCGCATGCCTGCTGGGCAGGCTCTGCCTGCCACCAACAACGCTGCTTCCCACCCAGGTTCTCTGGTTTGAGCAACAAACCGTAAAGAGGCGCACGAAGAGAAGCGTCAGTGTGGTGCCAACAGATCCCTGGTTCCATAAACAGTGGTACATGGTGAGATTTTGCCACTCTCTCGTCTAATCCTCAAGCAAATCGCCTCCCCGATGTGTAAACAGGACTAATGCTAACAGTGATGATGCAGCAGAAGAGGCCTTGAAGGTCACCCGCAGCCCGCTACCCAGGGGCTGATCAAATTTAATCCGTTTTCCAGAATAATGACATCAATCCCGATCTAAACATCCTCACTGCTTGGAGCAAAGGGTACACGGGGCTGGGGGTCGTGCTGACCGTCCTGGACGATGGGATTGAGAAGGACCATCCGGACCTGTCTGCCAACTACGTAACTATGAGGGGCCGAGCGGCGCGGGCTGCAGGAACCGGCTCCTTCAGGGCGTGTTGTCTCCAGGGGAGGGTGGGAGCTGGTGCCTTCATCCCGCCCGTGGGACTTTGCAGTGGGAACTCAGCCTCTCTGTGGCTGAATCAAAAGGTTTGACGTCTCCCGCAGTGCATTCTCACATCAAGGAAACGTTAGAACTTGTACACGGTCAAGCCCCCAAAATAGATGTAATTACAGCAAGCTGCAAAGCCAGTACAGCTGGTAAACCCTCACATGCTCTGAGAGCCGAGAGGAAAGGATAGGTAAATCTTAGCTGTTGTTTATAACAACATCGTTTCAGTGGTTTGTAGTTCCTCTCTCCTAGCTGTGCGGCTTGCCCTCAGGTGACTTGCCATGCTGGGCTTTCTCAGTGAACATAAACCTGGGCAAGATGAAGCAGCACAGCAATGTGCAAAGTTATGCTCCTTTAGCGAAATCCCATTTCCAACAACCCCAGGTTAACCCGGTACAGTTGCTGGGTGCGAAGGGGCACCCCCTGCCCTCTCCCAGCGGGGCAGGCAGTGAGCTCATGGGCAGGCAGGGTGATCTGCGCTGCCAGACACCGGGTGAAGCACCAGGCGCCTGCGTCAAGCTGTCACAATCCATGCTGAAAGGCAGTTTGCTCATGCCGGTGCCTCTTTTTGCAATAGGACCCTCTGGCAAGTTACGACTTCAACAGCAATGACCCTGATCCCCAGCCCAGGTACGCCACCGGGGACGAGAACTGGTAAGTTTTGCCCAGCACCCTGTACTGGGTGCTTTATCTCTCTGGGGGCTGAGGCTGTCCCAGGCCCCTTCACCCCTCACAGAGGATGGCTCACAGGCTAACTCTGCCCCTCAGGCACGGGACACGCTGTGCAGGAGAAGTGGCAGCTGCAGCCAACAACCGAATCTGCGGAGCAGGCGTTGCGTACAATGCCAAAGTCGGAGGTGAGCTGTTGCTCCGGCGTGCTGGTGGGAGGAAAGTTGCAAACCAGCTCTGGCACCCTGGGGGGACACACGTGGCCCCAGGCAGGGCTGTTCTGGGGGGGAGATGGGGGCTTGCAGGTGAGTAGAGGGTGCTGCGGTGTTACTGCACATCCAGCCATGGTGTGGGGCTCGGTGCTCGCTGGGGGTTTAATGCCTACCACAACACCAGGCTCCGGCAGGCAGCACCAACGCTGCGTGGGCTCAGGCTCCCCTGAGGAAGCAAGTGTGGCAAATGGGGTTAAAAGGTGGGAGAACTCACTGGGCTTAATTGCAAAGGGCTTAATGAGGAGCTTTGGGAACCAGCTCACAGCAGCGGCCGGCCGCACAGACCCACGGGAGCCTGATCTCCTTAGGGCAGCATCATGTGAAAGGTGCTCAAGGCAACCGGGGGCGGGGGGGTGAAGTGGGGGCCAGCGAGATGCCCCTCAGCCTTTACATCGGTGTATCATGCATGAGGCTCCTGTCCACCCAGAGCCAGCATGGCCTCCTGCGTGCTGCCGCCTCTCGGACACTGCTGCTCCTCTTCCTGGCCCCGCAGGCGTGCGGATGCTGGACGGTCCCATCACAGACATGGTGGAGGCTCAGTCCCTCAGCCTGCGTCCCCAGCACATCCACATCTACAGTGCCAGCTGGGGCCCCGAGGATGACGGGAAGACCGTGGACGGGCCAGGCGTGCTGGCTGCGGAGGCTTTCCACAGAGGGGTCACCAAAGTAAGCTCGGTGCTGGCCTCGGGGACCTCACCGGCACAGGGACTCCCTGCTCATCCCCCTCTGCCTCCCTCCCTGCCAGGGACGGGGTGGCCTCGGCTCCATCTTCATCTGGGCCTCCGGCAACGGTGGGATCAACTACGACAACTGCAACTGCGATGGGTACGCCAACAGCATCTATACCCTCTCGGTGGGCAGCGTCCTGGCAGGCGGCCGGAGGCCCTGGTACAGCGAGGGCTGCTCCGCCATCCTCACCACCACCTACAGCAGCAGGACCACGAGCGAAGTGCAGATCGTAAGTGCCATGCCGGCTCTGCCGGAGCAACCGCACTTGGGCAGACACCAGTTCCCAGTACGGAGCTGGTTCATCCAAGCCCTCCTTACCTGGGGAGGGAGAGGGAGCCTTTATTAAAGTGTCCACAGTAGACCCCAAAAAGCATGAAGGGACCCGGAGGGAGCATTTATTGAAGTTGCCCAACTCCAAACAGTCCTGCCCTCTGCTCCAGCAGCAGGCAATGGTGCCGAGACCCCCCTTCTCCCCCCCAGGTGACCACCGACCTACACCACCGCTGCACCGACAAGCACACAGGCACCTCTGCCTCAGCCCCGCTGGCCGCAGGAATGGTCGCCCTCGCGCTGGAGGCCAAGTAGGTGACATCGTGGCAGCGGGACAATGCCCAGGGAGAGCCTGGTGCCTCGCCAGGACCCTGAAGGGACAAGGAAGGGAGACTTTGCTAGCAGGGAGGTTTGGGAATGCGGAGCTGAGGTCTCCCAGGGCTGTGGTGGGGCAGCATCTTCTCCCAGGACACTGAAGGGGAGCAGCCAGAGGCAGAAGGAGACTTGTCCTCTGGAGGTCTCTGTTGCTCGCTTTTTGGCAGTGAAGGAGGTTGTGGGGGGACCAGCTTCGACCCAGACAGCTAACTTAATTACCCACATCGGAATTTAGAAGAGCCAGATCTGACCCTCAAAAGCTAACCCAAAGCAGAGACCTCTGTCCCCAAATCCTGCTTGCTTCCAGCCCAGCACTGACCTGGCGTGACCTACAGCATCTCGTCATCAGGACCTCCAAGCCCGCTCACCTGCAGGCAGAAGACTGGGCTGTGAACGGGGTCGGACGCAAGGGTGAGTTCAGGGCTCAGCCGCTGCCTGCCCTGCCTGCTCCTGCTTCCCTCCCCTGGCTGCGGCGGGGGTGTGCTGCCCCTCAAACTCCTGCCAGCATACCTGGGGCAGGAGCCCCCAGTGCTCTCCCAGTGCAGAGGGGTCCACCTTGGCTGGCATCTGCTTTTCAGTGAGCCACCACTATGGCTACGGGCTCCTGGACGCTGGTCTGCTGGTGGAGATGGCCAAGGAGTGGAAAGGAACTCGGCCCCAGCAGAGGGGTTCGGTCAAGGCTCTTCACACCCCCCGGTAAGGGCCAATATCCCCTGGGTCTGACCTTGGCCATTGCAGGAACAGACATTGCTTCTCCAAAAGTGGTCTGCGCTGCACGGCTTCTGCTGTAACCACAGGGCTGTGCTTAGAGGTCATGGTAGAGGGCAGGATGCCCATGGAGGGGGAAGAGATGCCCTTACCTGTGTCTTGTACTTGGTAGGAACATCGGCTCCAAGCTCACCGTCTCTACAGACGTCTCCTGCTCTGGGAGGACCAAGCACATCCGCTCGCTGGAGCACGTCCAGGTCCAGCTCTCTCTGAGCTACAGCCGCAGGGGGGACCTGGTGATTGCTCTGACCAGCCCGATGGGGACCACGTCCACGCTGGTGACTGTGCGGTAAGAGCGCTCTGCGAGCTTGCAGGGAGCACGTTGCAATGAGACTTGCGAGCTGCTAGGGTGGGGGGGCAGAGGGGGGTCCTCCTCTCAGCCTCTCCTGGGGCCAGGAGACTCTCCCCCACACTGAAGTGGCTGCTTCTGGTCCCCAGAGGGAACGGGCTCACCGTGCCCAAAACTCTT